GATCAAAATATTCTCCATTAATTTATAAAATTTTGATAGATTTCTATAAAATTGAGATATGTAAGGAAGGATGTAACTATGATTTAAATGTGTTGCTTGATTGAAAGAGGCATAATTCTCTACATATATTGCTTTGTAGATTAGAAATGAAATTAAAGAACAATGAAAATCTTTTCTCATCATTGCCTTTGCATTCGCCCTTTTGATCGATGAGACCTGATTATGATTTCTTGGACTCATGACACATTCATGTGATGCTTTAGCTTTTAAGATAATCCCCTCAATTTCGAATGACTAAGATTTTGTTTGGAACAACTTTTTGAGCTACCCAAAGATTTATTGACCAAATATAATTGCATTAGATAAATTTTAATCGGCAATGTACAATGGCAATCTTGATTATATGAAAATAGCTTCATCGTCTTGCTTCAAATTAGGATTGTCATTGTACATTGTTGATAAAAAATTTCATCCAACATAAATTCAAAATAATATATCAATTGTATTCAAATTTTCATTCAAATTTTTATTTGATGTTTTATTGAGTCAATTACTTTGGAAACTTTCAATAACTTTAATTTAAAAAAGAAAACTATGCAAAAAAACAATAATAATAAATAGGTATTTCAAACAATTTCTGTTTTAATATAGTTTGGTAGGTGAAGGAAATCTTAAAAAAAAAATACCATCCAACAAATTATGCTTTGTGTGTAACCTAAAAGTCAAAAGTTTGAAAAGACGCTAACAGCCAATTTAAAAGATCATAAAAATTAGGAGAAGTGGGATTTAAACCCACGCCTTCCTCTTCCCACGAGGGCTAGAATTTGGAGAGATTATTCTGTGAGGATATTAGATGGAGAACCGTCTGTTTTACTTTCAAGTTACAAGCGGTATCTGAGTATCGAGTATTGTTCGGTATAAACTCGGTATCGAACGTGGTGTATTTTCATTATGATTTGGACTCAACACAAGATAATTTTTCTAGAACTTGAGTCTGACACCTTAGACCACTCGGCCATCCTGACCGTTTTAATAGAAATGTAGAATACTATTTATTTGGCTTTAAAAGTTTTTTTTTTTTTTTTTTTTGAGTGGTGTTTTTCAAGCACTTATATATTTACTATCTAATAACTTCTAAGTATATTTAAATGTAATTAAAATGATTAAAAGAATGTTGGGTCCTATTGAGTGTCATTCAAAGTAGATTAAAAATGAAAAAAAAATTATCAAGATGTTCTAGTACCAATTATATCGGGATAAATTTGAAAATTATTAGATATTCTTTGAGATTAATATTTTTAGGATCTTGATGGAAGAAGAGAAGCTCTTCTTGAGCTTCTTGAAAAGGAGCAATTATTAGGTCCTTTCACTGGATGTAGAGGAAGGTTCGGTTTTAGACAAAAATAGGTCAAAAAGTGCAAATACCGAGTATTTTTTCAAAAAACTCGGTATTTGCACTTTTTTAGGCAAAACCGAACCTTCCTCTAGGTCCTTGCACCGGACCAAATAAAAGTTCCTTGAAAAGAGGGAGAGATAGAGGTAAGAAAAGTGAATATAATTCTATTAATTTGGCATGCATCTATTACAAACTATTATAATTATTTATAGACAAAATAGGCTATATCATAGGCAACACAAACTAAAGAAACCTATAAAAAAATACAAACCCTAAGTTAAAAATCTGGACCAATATCTAACAATCTCCCCCTTAATATTATACAACACCTCTTTTAAACCCTCCACATAGCATGGGTTTTTTAACAAGCAATCATATCACCTCTCTTGATGTTAGACGGATTGTGTCCTAGATGATCAAATATAAATCGTCAGCTTACCTCATCATACTCCTTTATAATTGGTGGGTTGCCGTCCATCTCCTGCGGTAGTTCCCTAACATCAATGCAAACAGAGGCTACAGATCTATCGAGGAGTGAATGGCGGCAGGTCAAGCAGGATGAATGCGAGGAAAGCCATATGTCGATGCATCGAACATGGAATATATGGTTGCAGCTCGGCAATACCCGAACCTTCTCTCCTTCGATGAAGTCAACTAGGCAGATCTGACATTCAGTTGTCAATATATTTGTGTTGGATCTATAGGTTGCCACTGGGATCCGCCTTAGGTTACTCTTCTTCAATCCTGTCATTGCTAGCTGCATTGTTGTTGCCTCTGTAGTCTCGAACGGGAGCCGTTGACTCCACCGTAGAGCGCATGGAATAAGCGAGTACAATCCTAATGCGCACAATAGGGCGTAAAGAAGGATGGCTGGGATTATTACTATGTTCTTATCAAAGTTCCAGTCTGTATTGCCACTGACACCGATGGGGATGCTCCGATTAGATGGATGTGGAGCCGAGACAGGCACCATCTTCCAAAGCAAGCGCAGATGAAATGCAATATTCAACAGTGATGGAAACTTTTTAAGAAGGGACTGTGAGAAAACTAACAAACAGAAGAAAAAAAAATCCAAGAAGAAAGAAAGAGGGTGAAGAATTATTGTAGAGTACCTGGGAGAGTCGGCAGTATCTAGTTAGAAGCATTACTTGGAGCCTGTAGCATTATATATAGACTTTGTTTTTCAAAAAGTTGATGAGAAATTGATGTGATAAAATTTCTTTTTTTTTTTGGTAAGATGAAATTGCTTTATAAAGCTGAATCAAAATTTGTACCTACAAATAAATTCAGCTTCTTCCCTTCCTATGATGATGACAAATTAATGTGTGCATACGGCTTAGGAATGCCACATCATGTCATAGTTCATGCTCTCATCTTTTTGGTTTGGTGTTTAGGGTTTTAAGAGAAAACTGACTAGACATATTACCCACTATTACTTATATGGCATTTCCAACTACTGCAAGATAAATGGCTATTGCTGACAAAAAATTCCATCCATAACCTAAGGAAAATCTATGGGTAAATCTATCATTGACAAATTTTATGTCAAAAAATTCCATTGCTGCTTGTGTAAATGGGTTGGTTTCCTGTAACTTGGTTTATCTGTGCAAACGGGTCGGCATGTCAATCCGGGTTGACCCAAACCCGGCTTGGGTCGGGTTTGGGTCCTAAATAGTGATCCGTTTCTCTAAACTGATTGGGTTTGAGTTGACTCATTTAGATGAGGGCCAAGTCAGGTTCGACCCGAACTCGACCCGTAACCCAGTTTTGACACCCCTAGTAGCAGCAGACTTGGGAGATGGTTGGATTGAATCAAATGTTTTGTAAAATCCGGACCAAGGGGGAGATTGTTAGATATTGGTTCAAATTTTTAGTTCTTTCTTTGTACTTTTTTTAGGTTTCTTTAGTTTGTGTTGCCTATGATATAGCCTATTTTGTCTATAAATAATTATAATAGGTTGTATAATCAAGATTGACATTGTACATTGCCGATAAAAATTGTTTATCTAATGCAATTATATTTGATCAATAAATCTTTGGATAGCTTTGAAATAATTCCCATAGTAAGAAACATAGAAAATTTAGATGATAGAATTAATTTCTAAAATTTTAATGAAGTGATTTAAAGTTAGAATAAATTTCAATTACTTCATAAATTTTTTGAATGATATATTTTAAGACTCTATATTTGTTGATTATTTAATTATCTCAAAAAAGTTGTTCCAAAAAAATCTTAGTCATCTTAGTCATTCGAGATTGAGGGGATTCTCTTAAAAGCTAAAGCATCACTTGTATGTCATCGATCAAAAGGGCAAATTCAAAGGTGATAATGAGGAAAGATTTTCTTTGTTCTTTAATTTCATTGCTAATCTACAAAGCAATATAAGTAGAGAATTATGCCTCTTTCAATCAAGCAACACATTTAAACCACAGTTACATCCTTCCTTGCACATCTCAATTTTATAGAAATCTATCAAATTTTTATAAATTAATGGAGTATTACCGACGGATTTTTCTGGCAGAAATTGGCAAATTTACGGCGGCTTTCTGGCAGATATTTTACCTCTGATAAAAACCGCGTAGGAAACGACAACCAGCGGCTAATTTCGGACGGAAATTTTTTCATCATAATCAACATTTTTAATAATATGCTAACATTTGATGAATTATTGCTCCAAATAATTACTGTTCATGACACAAAAAACTAATTGGAGAGAGTTGTTTCAACAATTACAATGAGTCATTGACCTCAAATAGCTTTTCCATTTTCAATCATTGATAAAATAGAATAATGATCGAGTTCAATAAAATTATGTTTGATCTTTTTTCAAGCCATGTTTTATTCAAGTCAAATCATGCTCGAACCTTGATTGAACTTAGAATGAACCATATTCAAATCATCTAATTTGAATCATATTTGCACGTTCTTTAAATATTGTTCGAACATTATTTAAACTTTGTTCAAACAATGCTTGAAGCATTTTCGAAACTTGATCGAACCTTGATAGAGGTTTCTTCTAACCATGTATGACCAATTTATAACTTATTTATGGACTTATTGCTATTTATGAACCCATGCTTTACAACATATTTCAAGACTTATTATTAAGGCTTCGTTTGGGACGGCTTTCGAAGTGCTTCTTGAAGCAGTTTTTTAATACAAAAATTAAAATTTATGTACTAGAAAGCTGTTTTAAGAAGTAGCATGAAAGCCGTCCCAAACGAAGCCTAAATTTATACATTTGCTTCTCTATAAATATTTTATTTTATATATCAATTGCTACTGAGTTGCGTAATTATTTTAACATAATGGCTCTACCATTAGTTGCTATATATTGTTGCTATTGTATTGCAGCTTTCATAGAAAAAAGCATAGTCAATTTTACCTATTATTTTTCTTAATTATATGCATGTCATTAAAAGATATAAGATATGGTGATTTGAGAATGGCTGAGTATGTATATGAATTATTTATTCACAATAAAATTTGATAGGGTTAATTATGAACAAAAAATGGAAATTTACATACATACCACTTTATAACATCCTATTTACATATCTAACACCTAAAATTTTAATATTACATGCATGTCACCCTATATTATTTTAATATCAAATATATCACTTATATTTCTTTCCTACCACTCATATATTTCATTTCTACTGTTCTACCACTCATATTTGATATGAAAATGAACTATGGGTGGTATATTTGTAATATTAAAGTTGTAGGTGTTAAATATGTAAATAGAAAAGAATTAGGTGGTATGTATGTAAATATTCAAAAAAAAAATTAAAATTTAAAACATTAATTTAGCACACAAATATATAAATTTAGCACAAATGTATGTGTAATTTGTTAAAATAGAAAGACATTATTGCTAAATATTTTCTATTAATTTAGAAAATCGAAGGATTTCTATGAAATTGTGATATTTTAGGAAGGAAAGATAAATGCACAACTTTTCTTTGAATCAACAAAAAAGATCTTTACTAAATCCATTTACAACAATGAAATAAATCAAGAACAAGAATGAATTGATGAAACAAATCAAAATACAATGAATTTTCTTTTGACTATAAAAAAATTAAAATCACTTTCAAATACTGATAATACTACGAATAGCAATCAAAATTCCAATACTTATTGGAACATAATTGTGAATAGATCTAAATATTCTCTATTAATTTGGAAAATATTGATAGATTTCTATAAAGTTGATATGTTTAAGTAGGGGTGTCAATATTTGACACGACCCGAAAACCCGACCCGAACCCGACCCGAAAATTTCGGGTTAGGGTCAAAAAGAGGAGATTGACCTGTTTTTGACCCTAAAATTAGCCATTTTTTTGTTGGAAACGAGTCATTCGGGTCGTGTTGGGTTGATCCGAACCTGAAGCGGGTCGGGTTCGGGTTGTTCGTACAATGCTAAGACGTTAAATATAATATTTCTCTACCGCCGCGAATACTCCTGACTGTACATTGCCGATAAAAATTGTTTTATATATACTCTTTTCTTTTCTTTTCTTTTTTATAAGGGGTTTAAATTTTCCTAAAGAGAAAGGGCAACATATAAATAAAGAAGAAGTGGGAGGTGACATGTGAGATAAGGACCGTAAGGATTACATCAGATGGTGATAATATTGGTTTACTGTAGGGCCCACAAGGAATCTGACAAATAACCAGGCCATCTTGCAGGCTACCCAAGATTTTTTAGCATATGGTCCCTGTCGAACCTGACCAACATTATGAGCAAATTTAAGTAAATGCTTCATTTAAAAAATGAAAACCCAACCATTATTTCGGAAAGCAAATGTAAGGGTGTCAAAATGTGTATTCAAGTTAGGTTCAAGTCAAACCCGAAATTGATCCAGATCAAATTCTGCTAACTCGAACCAGACCCAAATTGCAAAATTGGTCATATACATAAACCCAAACTCAACCCGGGTAACCCAGGTTGACCACCCACTAATCATGAGGCCATAAGGTGTGAGCGGGTAAGCGCAGATGCCATGAATCACGAGGGCAGGAGGCGAGAGCGCGACAGCTAGGGGGCGAGGTTCATAAACAGGTGAGCGCAGGTGCGGCCATGCAAGTGCGAGTGCAAGTGCAGGAGCAAGAGTGGGAACATGTGCAAACGCAAGGCCGCAAGTGTGGGGTGAGCATAACTCGGGTCAATCAATCGAGTTGATTTCAGGTTTTCAAGCTGACCGAATCCAAAATTTTCAGGTCGAGTCAAATATTGACACCCCTAAGGAAAAGTAGTTTGTATTCAAGCCAAACACAATTATAAATAAAATTTTATTTGATCATAGTAATTAAAAATTTACCTAGATATTTATATTTAAGTTGTTTAATGTTATTTATCATCAAATTTGGCTTAAATATTTACCTCATGTGAATTAGACTTTGTTTGAAATAGTTTTTGTCCATTGTTTTTTCAATGCTTCTAATATTTTTTTAACTAAAAAGGTACTTTAGAATGCACTAAGAAAACTAATTGCCAGCAAATGAATGAAATGTTTGACTCAGTTGATTTCGATTTTTTTTTTTTTAGGGGGTCAAGGTAGCAATCAAAGAAAATTTGTTTTCGATTTTTTTTTTTTTTTTTTTTTTACGGGGTCAAGGTAGCAATCAAAGAAATCAGAAAAAAATAATGAGGAAGAAAATGGTTTGGGGTTTCGGGCTATTTTATTTCCATTAAAAAAATCATAAAAAAGAATGGTTTTCTGTAGTGATGTGAGGTAGGGAAAAATATCTAAAAATGTATGTAAATTTTTTAATTCATTATAAAATATTATTTCAATCTTTTCAACATAATATGCTATTCTAAGTGTCATATTTGACTATAAAAATATAATTTTTCTTAAAATTTGTGATTTATTTTCATGCAAGCATCTCTCTTAGATGTAATTAATTATAAAGAATTTTCTTTAAGAGAAATCTGCACCCCAAAAATAAAATTAATCCTTCTTTATTCATAAAAGGTTGGGAAAAATATCTAGGAATTTAGATTTTTTTAAACTCTTTTTTTATTTTTGAATCCATTAAATAATGTCATTTCTATTTTTAAAAGAAACTATTAAAAAGGTTGTCGTCCATCTCTTGCGATAGTTCCCCAACATCAATGCAAATAGTGGCTACAGATCTATCGAGGAGTGAATGGCGGCAGGCTGGGCATGATGACTGCTGGGAAAGCCATATGTCTATGCATCGAACAAAGAATATGTGATTGCAGCTCGGTAGTGCCAAGACATTCTCTCCTTGGATGAACTCAACTAGACAAATTGGGCATTCAATTGTCGATATATTTGAGCTAGATCTTATATAGTGCACTGGGATTCACCTTGGGTTGCAGTTTTTCAATCCCGTCATCACTAGCTGTGTTGTTGTTGACTCTGTAATCTCGAACGGGAGTCGCTGACTGCACCGTAGAGCACATCGAATAAGCGAGTACAATCCTAATGCACTCATTAGAGCATAAGGAATGATGGTTGGGATTATATCCTTAATGGTATTCATTATTTCTTAATTAGATTTCTTACATCTGAATAACTATGATTGGTGTATCTCGATACTGAACATAATTACATCCTTAATGATATTCATTTTTGATACCAATGAACTCTCAGTACCAATGCTTGGTATTGCTTGGTACTAGTCGATACCTCTCAATAAGCTATACTAAATAACTATGATCATCACCGCTCGGTACCTCTCAATAAGCAATACTCTCAGTACCATTGCTCAGTACCACTCGGTACTAGTCGATACCCCGCCGTCTCACATCATGAACCAAAGGTGAACCGTCACCAACATTATCTAGAATAACACAATTCAAATCTTGAGGCACTACCACATCAAAAACATTAACATGATGATCACTGAGACCATCAATAGGTAGCAAAGAAATTTCAGCTATAGCCCCCACATTCATTGTATTAATAGGAAGGACACCAACCAAAGGATGCAAAATCGGGCATTCAACTTTTGAGTGAACCAAAGCTTTACAGTGAAAACAATTATAGGGAAGTTCTTAAAAACCCAGGCAAACTTGATTAGGATAATGTTTAGTAACATCTAACTCGAATAGAATACGAGCAACCGAATGCCTTGCACCATTAATGATAGTATTATCGAATCTTAAGGGACGGCCAAATATAGACCCCAACCCTTGTAGAATGCAAGGGGAGAACATGTGAGGACAAAGATTGGGAAAAGAATTCCATATTGGAATTATAGGGGATTCCACGTTGACATCAAAATGGGGAGTCCACTTAAAAAGCTTCATAAAGCAATTGTTGACAAAGTATGAGTGGTGTGAAAACACCCTGTAGTAGACTAAGTCCTTCCCTAACTTAATCAACACATTTTTCTGATTAAGCAATGTGACAGAGAAATCACCAAAGAGTTTTAGGTTTTAAAAAAAATTGTGAATTGTATCGAAAGGAGGATAACACCTCAAAAATTTTCGAACTAGAGCAAATTCAAAAGGTGCTGCAAGAGTAACAATTTATTCATTCAAGATCAACAAAGTTAGTAAACCATAATGAGAAATTTTAAGCGGAGGAAACTCCGGAGCAGCTGAAGTCTATGACAAAACAACTCTAAATGATCACAATTTGGTTACCATCCAAAAATCTAGGGTCACTCAAACAATTCACAGCCATCAAAATCAAAAAATCGGCTGAAGGAAGAAGATCGAAAGAAAATCCCGCTGAATTTAAATGAGAAGGAAGAAATTTACCAAATCGAAGAAATGCCAGAGCACAGACGAAATGGAGAAGAAAGCCCTAGACATCGCGAGTTCCTGATCATCAAAATCCTCTATAAGAAGCTAGCTAGCATCTGTTAAGTTAGGGCTCCAAAGAATTACAGTTCATGACACTTACAGAACTAATTAGAGAATGATGTCTCAACAATTACATTGTGTCATTGCCCTCAAATCGCTTAAATATTTTATTCATCACACCCCACCTTTATATGTGCTGGAGTAGTAAAATGTCTGTCTATATATATTATTAGAACAAAAATCAGCAAAAATAAAAATAACTCAAATGAGTCCATCCAAAAAGATGAATGATGGGCAAAATAGTGTACATCAGACAGATTTTTTTAAGTATCATAGTTGAACCTTAAAATTTTGTATTGCAGGATTCATAGAAAATATCATAGTTGATCTTATCTATTATTTTTCTTAAGTTTTGCTATAGGTTATCACAGATAATCGACCGATTTTTCATTGCAATGTCAAAATATCGAATAATTGGGAAATTTTTTCTATTAAATATTTGCATAAAATTTTGAAATAATAAGACAATTGCTAAATATTTTTTTTTTTTAAGTATTTAGGAAAATTGATGGTTGTAAAATTAAGAAGTTTTAGGAAGTATATAAATTATCGATATTAATTTAAGAAAGCTGATGGTTGCAGTTATGATTGAGATATTTTACAAAGGGTATAACTGCGAAAGATGAATCTAAATATATATTTTCTATTAATTTAGAAAAATTGAAGGACTTTTATAAAATTGAGATGTTTTAGGAAGGTTATAACCCTGAATGATGGACCAACTATTTTAATTTAGTGCACATACAAATAAATATTTATTTAGTAAGACATTATTCGTATATACTCTTTCATTAATTAGAAAAATTGATGGTAGTAAAGTTGAGAGGTTTTAAGAAGGATATAAATGTGATTGGACTATATGACTTTATTGAGGGAGAAAGTATTCCTTGCGGTAACCGGATCTTCCGGAGGCAAATCAAGATGAGCCACGTCATCCGGTACGTAACAAAAAAGTGACGTGGCGAGTCCTGATTCGCCTCTATACTGCGTTTGGTGACCGCATTGAATAATTTCTTTTATTGAGGGTTCATAATACACTATATATATTGCTCGTGCATGAGCAAATGAAAATATAATAAAAGATAATGTATTTCCTTAAAAAGCAAATGAAAATTAGGATGGATATAATTGTGAATGCATCATATAAATCTTCATTATTAATTTAGAAAAATTGATGGATTTCTATAAAATTGAGATGTTTAAGGAAGGAAGTAACTGTGATTTCAATGTATTGCTTGATTGAAGAAGGCATAATTCTCTCTATATATATTGCTTTGTAGATTAGAAATGAATCATAGAACAATGAAAATCTTTCCTCATTATCGCCTTTGCATTCGCCCTTTTGATCGATGAGATCTTATTATAGTTCCTTTGCTTCACAACACAGTTAATGCTTTTGAATTCACCCTTTGATCAATGGAATCAAATCTAGGGCTTAAAGCAAAATTAAAATGCTCATAACATTAATTTAAATATGTTAAATATAAATAGTTATATCTTATAATTACATTTTCTTACAACATTCTAATATTATTTTTTGTAATATTGGATTTCTTAAATATTTCATAAAAATTAAGAAAATCTAATTTTAAAAAATATACATACTAGAAACTTATAATTAAAAAAAGTTATGTTTTTAAATTTACAAATAAGTTATAATTAAAATTAATTTAAGTTTCTTTTAAAAAAGTAATCCAAATTTATGTTTTTTAAGAAAACATAAACTAAACTTATATTTTCAGAAATCGTAAAATATTTTATGTATGGACCCCTATTTAAATTATGTTTATATTACTCTCTTTTTACTTATCTTAGCTATAAATCTTCCCATATTAAAAAATTTTCATGCTACCTCACGGAGCTGGGGGCCTTATAGTTCTAACTTTTATTTAGACGGGTGGTGAATCCGAGCCCGTCACATCATTTCTTTGTTGTGTACTCTGTGAGTTGAGTGGAGAGTAGAGAGAGAGAGAGAGATTTATTGGACTATAGTGGAATACTTAATAATTAATTCTAATATAATAGTTTGAATCTCTCTGATCTAAGGATCATAGTCTCATAGTTTGAATCCCTAACTATTTATCATCATCTCTTATTCATTCTCTATGAGGGCTATAGATGGGTTGCCCGTTAGGTACATGGCTAAAAGACAAGTTTGATAGGTCTCAAGCCTTCTCCATTACATTGCAAATAATTATATGTAATAACCTTGTTTGACTGTTCAATTGGACCAATCCTAAACAACAGTGAGCAAGTTAACAAAAATGAGTCGAGCAGGCAAAACCACAGGCGCGGGCATAGCTGGCAGAACTGGAACATATAAATGAACGAGGAAACACGTTCGACTACGAAAAGTAGCGACTTCTCGTATGAGATAATTTTGTTTTGCTCACTCCATTTGTACCACACGAATAGAAGAGACTTTGAACAAGAATGGGAGTTCAAGACTTGATTATCTCCGTTGGCTTAGAGGTAAATTGCATGGAAAGGAATGCAAACGATGAACGTGGAGGAGATTATCTCCTACAACTTATTCTGACGGAGGGAGCAAGAGCGATAACCTTCGGAGTTCAAGAGTTGATGACCTCCCCCCATATGAGAAAGATAGAAATTCTCTTACTTTCCTACGTCACATAGATGATGTTGATAATCTGCGGAATATTACTTGCATTGGCTTTTAAAAAATCCTGACAGTTAATTTACCGGTGAGGAATCAGGAAAAGTAAACAAAATTGGAAAACTTCTTATTTTCGTGACTTTTGTCACCGTTATTGTTACTATTATAATAGTTCTTTTTGCCATGTGATAGAAATGATCATCTATAAGTGATTATTGTAAATATACTTTACAGTCTTATATAAAGGAGTCTTCTGAAGTGATTTGAATGGTGAAGAATTCAAATCTTACAGAACATTCAAGCGCAATAGCTTACAGCTTTGTATGGAATGAGTGAAGGCTGGAAATCAGTGGCCCGTCAGTACTAAAAATTATAGAAAGAAAAAGAAAATTAACATTCATTCTTCACCATTCAAATCAGTTCAGAACACTCTTTTATAGAAGACTGTTAAGTATATTTACAAACATCACTGTATATAGGATCATTTCTATCACGAATGAACTATTATAATAGTGAAAATGATCGGGATAAAAGTCAGGAGCATAAGAAGTTTTCCTAATTTATTTATTTTTCCTAATTCCTCACTGGTAACCCGTGAAGATTTTCTAAAAACCAATGCAAGTGATATTCCGTGGATTATCAGCGTCACCTGTGTTACGTAGAAAAGTAGGAGAAGTTCTACCTTCCTTGCATGACATTGGAAATTATTATATGCAAGAACCTTGTTTGCCGGTTCAATTGAACCAATCCTAAACAACTGTGACACAGGCATAGCTGGCAGAACTGGAACATGTAAACGAACGAGAAAACGCGTTCTACCATGAAAAGTATCAACTTTTTTGTGAGATAATTTTGTTTCGCTCACTCCAGTTGCACGGCACGAATAGAAGAGATTTTGAATAAGAAGAGATTGATTGAGAGGAAGAAGAAGAGCACCGATGATGTTTGGTCTTCTAGTCGCGGCTGGCTTCGTCAACTGAAGACGACAAAGGAGCACTGTTTGGGGTGAGTGAGCGAGGAAGAGGTGTTTGAGTGAGATGTAAGTATTTATTCTTTTATTAATATGGTACGTTATAATATTTAACAAATATAAATTTTATATTTAAAAATATATTTTTAATATTTAAAATAGAAATTTATTAGAGTTTTGATTATACACTTAAGACAATTAAAATTTATTAGAAAATGAGAGTATATTTAATTATTAGTTAATTAAATAAAGAATTTATTAAATATATAGAAAGTCTATTTTAGAAATTAATTAAATTATGATTTTTCATAAAAGAGCAACGATAATAAATTTATCCTTTATTAAATTCTTAACAAGAATTATTTAAATATATTCAATACCTAGTTTCAGAAGATATTTATATTAAAATTTTAGATTTGAGATATAAATTTTGAGAGTTAAATAAGATATAAGTTTTAATTTAGCATGCTAATTTAAAAAATTAATTATATCAATAAT